TATTAAATACACTCATCAAATTGAAGGGCCCCGGAAATAATATTCTTCCCCTTGATTTTAATTAAAAATATGCTTCAGATAAAATAGAAAATAAACTGCTACATTTCAAACTTATACGCTATTAAAAAATTGACAAATTATCAGAAGAATAGAATCTTGTAACACTTACAAAATTTCGAAAATTCTCAAAACTTTAAGCATGACAGATTGGACCGCAAAAATCCACGATACAAAGCGATTTATATAATAATTATAATTACCACATAACTTTTACAAGACATGAGCATACAAATTATATAGAGTAGGTAGTCCAACAATGAACCATGTAAATTTCATAGGCTTATATCTCTCTAAATTATTGAGTTGGAGATCTGTGTTTTTGCATACAATTCATGAATTTAGTTGGCTAGTATAAGATGACTTATAAGTCATTTTTAAAGTTTAGCCACAATTTTGATTTTTTTTAAAACAATGTCAAATAATTAATTGTATACTGAGGTGTGTACACAATAAATCTATAGCCATTTTTAACAATGAATCACATGTTTTATACAGTAAATTGTTAGTATTATTTTAATTTTACTATGTTTTAAAATGTTTATTTAGAGAAGAGATAATTATAATTTCGAAATTAAGTCTAAAATTTGTAACATTTTTTTGAAAAAAATCAAAACGGTCGTATTGAGAAAAATAAACATTTTTTACTTAAATCCTAAAAAAAAACAGTCATATTGTCCATTAAAAATTTTTTTTATATTCTCTTCGAAAAGTACAGTAAAAAACCGAAAAAAAGGTTACCTTATTTTTTACAATATCTTTTTTCTTCTTAAAGTAACAGGCATTTGAAATTTTTAAAATTTTAAACTGCATTTTTTTTTAAATTTATAACTTAAATATGGGTAGAGATAAAAATCTAAAAAAAATCATGGCAGTTACTTTCATTTAGTATCAAACACAAAAAAATTTCAGCCAAATAAAAAATGGTCGAGAAAAATCATCGGTTGATTTGGCATGGAATGACCCATATATATACTACTTGTTTGGTGACGTCTCGGGGTAAGGGACTACGGGGTTCACGTGAATACGCGAGACCATCACGTGAAACTATTCGGAAAATCGCGTGATTATCCGAGAGCGTCGCGTGCCGGTACAGACTATGAATTGATCGCTCGATAAACGAATTTATCAAATTATATGCTAGATATTTTCACGTTCTTTTAAATTCTTTCTAAAGTATCTTATATTTTTACTATAATAACAATACTAATATTACCTAATATTATCATTAACACGCGTTCTACTAAATCTATGATTTTACAATAATATCAATATTATTATTAATATTAATAGAATAATATTAACATTATCGTCACATGCATCTAATCTTAACAATAAGTTTACAATAATATTAAGATTATTATTACTACGAATAATACATTATTTTTACGAGCATTTTACCATAACTATAGTTTTGCATCAATATCAACATTATTAACAATATGCGCGTTTGCGACAATAACATGCGGCATTATAAAATTTGATGTTTGTTACAAGGGGTTCAAATGCGAGTCGTTGCATGATAACAGGCACAATCTAGCAGCATTACATTTATGAAATACTGCAATAATGGTTTATAGTGTACTACCGGTTCATTGTTGGACTACTTACTCTACAATTTTTGGAGGCAAAACATGTCCTTATTTTTGAAAAAATTGCAGAAAAGAGTGGAGGATAAATACAAAATCTAACAAAAAGGCCTTAAAGTATAAACTTTACCATTTAGAATGAAAAAAAATGTTTCAAATACGACAATTTTTTACGGAAATATGCTTATTTGAACTTATACGAAATTTTGATATGAATTGTGTGTTGCGATACTTTTGTTGACCAGTGTACTTTAAAAAATTATGTTTAGAGGAATGACAAATATTTGCGTGCCATACGAATACATCAGTTGGAATGTACCCGATGAATGGACAATGGAAGATGCAGCAACGGTTCCGCGTGTGTACATCACATGCTATGACGCCTTGTATATAAAGGGTAAAATGAAAAAAGGAGACAAAATCTTGATCCATTCGGGTACTGGTGGCATTGGTCAAGCTGCGATCCATCTTGCCCTTCATGAAGGTTGTGAAGTGTTTACGACAGTTGGAACTGTCTCGAGAAACGACAGTTTATGAAAGAAACTTTTCCCTCTATTCCCGAAGATCATATCGGAAACTCCCGAGATACAAGTTTTGAACAAATGATTATGCAGCGTACAGGAGGTCGTGGAGTGGATATCGTATTGAATTCTTTAGCTGAAGAGAAATTGCAAGCATCTGTTCGCTGTTTAGCAAATGGTGGCCGTTTTCTGGAAATTGGAAAATTTGATATGGTTTCCAATAATTCATTGGATTCTTTTATCTTCTCTAAATAAGGTATCAGTTTCTACGGTATTATATTAGAAAATTTAAATTCATCAAGTTTAGAACGAAAGAGAACGCTGTCGAAGAAAATAGCGGAAGGTTTAGAAAATGGCGCTATTAAACCGCTGTGTAGAAAAGTCTTTAAAAGAAATGAAATAGAAGATGCCTTTAGATATATGGCTTCTGGAAAACAAATTGGTAAGCCCAGCAAACGAAAAAAGATTGAAAAGAATTAAAACGGGATTGCCAGGAATTCAATTAAAGACTTTCCGAATTCTATTCTGTCCAAAAAAGGGATTGAAATAGTTTCAATATCATGGAATTCCTTATTTTGGAAAGAATTTGTCTTTTTTGAATCCCATCCAATTTCGACACAAAAATATTATACCACTGAATGCCAGGTTAGGGATTGGAAAGTTTCGTGATGAATTCCATTGAATACCATTGATTCCGTTAACGAAATGAATACCACTGAATGCCAGGTTAGGGATTGGAAAGTTTCGTGATGAATTCCATTGAATACCATTGATTCCATTAACGAAATGAATACCATTGAATGCCAAACTAGGAATTAAAAATTTCCGTATTGAATTCCATTGAATTCCGTCTATTCTGACAATAAAATGAATACCATTGAATGCCAGGATAGGGATTAAAAAGTGTCCGTGTTGAACTCTGTGGCGGTACGCGCCACCAATAGTACACGCCCGCGCGGTATCTGCATTACCGGCAGTTCGCGTCGACGCTGCTAGGCGTCGCATCGCCGGGGCATCTTCTCGAGTTCAAAGTTTCGTCTCGACCGCTATGTAAAGGGACCCCCTACGGTGCCTGACAGATCTTACAAATCTCATTTTCGGGCTAATTGCCCGTCGGCAGTAGTGCGTGTAATGCCCTTAGGCATACACAAAAGCTCGCCGACGAACAACGGCGCTTGGTCGCCCAACGGAGGCGCGAGACGTTTTTTAAACCATCTAATGCCATGCAATTTCATAACCTTTACGGATTCCATAGGATTGGATGGAATTGAAATTTTTCTTTTTTGGATTCCATGGGATTGGACCATCTCATTTCGAATCCCATCTAATTTCATCTAATTCCGCCAAAAAAAGGATTCAAAAGTATTAAAAAATTTCAATATCTTTTAATCCTTTTGCGTTTGCTGGGATGGGTAAGCAGTTTTATGCAAAGCTAAACAAAGAAAAATACTAAATACATATAATGCCATGAAATAAAAGTGAAATCAAAATGTTATTTTGAAGTATATTTATTGGAATAAGTAGGTAATATCTCAAAAAATATATTTTTTGCGCAAAATTAAATTTACAGGAATGCTTATAATATTTGGAAAACTATCTCTCACAATTGCTGTAGACTTAACCCTTTAAGTCTCTATGTGTTTCTCTCATTTAAATTATTATTGTATAACTTTGGTTCTAATCAAAATTTTTAGATCGCAATTGATATTTAGAAGAAAAAGGAGTTGTTTTTTCCGAAAATCTAGTCAGCTATAAAGTGGGATATCTGAAAGAAAGAAAGAGAAGAAATTGCTTGATAAAGGACCCAAACTTGAAGGTCGTAAAGTCGTTTTTTATATACTGATTGCCAATTGTTGTTGAGAATAATAAACATTTTCTGTTTAGAGCATTACGTTGACTTTTTTAGACAGAAATCGGTAACCTCTTTATTATCAGCAATTTTTCTAATTCTATTATATTTTTTCAAATTTCTTTTAACGTTTTACGACATGAGAAGATTTCCTAATAATTTAACCAATTTCAAATAAGATGCATACCAATATGTGCTAATTAGGCAATAATTAACAATGTTTTCATTTACTAAGCATTTGTATTGAAATAACTAAGTGCTTAAAGATATAAAGAAATGTAACAATTTAATTCTTGATTAAAATTTTTGGTGTATATTCAATTTTAAAAGATTAAATAAAATACTAATATATAATTAATTTTATTATACAATTTTTACTTTATTTCAAACAAAATAGGATTGAAGAACATAAACGCAATACCATCAAATATGCCATTGGCTTCGGCCCATATGGATTCGATGATGGCAGTAGAAATTAAGCAAATGTTGGAAAGAGAGTTTGATATTTCTCTGACAGTGCCAGACATTAGAACTTTAAATTTTTTAAGACAAATGACAATTACAGCCGAACAAGGAAAGATACAAGATACAAATGAAATTGATCCAAGTAATTTGGAAGGCTTCGACGTACTGATTCGAAAAGTGAAGGATTCAGACTTTGTTCCAGATATTCTTGTAGAACTTGTTACCAAGGAGGTTGATTGAGGCAATATATTTCTCTTACCGGGAATCAAAGGATGTTTAAGTGTATATAAATCTATAGCATCAGGAATTAAATCTTCGGCAACGTGTGTGCAACATGGTGTACTTAATATTCCTGACGATAGTCATTCAGTGAAGTCAGCCGCTTATTTGCTGCCTGTAAGAAGATTAAATTTAATTAAAATATTTATGTTGAAAGTAATATTTAACAATTACTAATAGATACAAATCTTTCGTATTATACCACAGCTTACACATACATTCATATTTATATTTTCTTAGCACATATTAAAGAAAATGAGAGATGAAAGGAAATTTCTAATAGTGAATTATTCATTTGGATCTTTAATTGCCATCGAATTAGCAAGATTATTAGAAGCTAATAATTTCTCAGGACGGTTAATACTAATAGATGGAGCTCCTGATCAAATGAAACTTTGGACTAATCAATATTTGGACTGTACTTCGCCAGAAGAGTTACAAAACACGATATTACTTGGTTTATTGAAAATGTATACTACAATTAACAAAAAAACAGTTAGTAAATTATTTAAAAAACACATTTTTTATTATAAGAATTATTTATGTAATTTTAATCTTATATAAATTTAAATAAAATAAGAACACACACACAAAATGACTCATTGTAACATAAATATCTTCAAAGATTTGTATTTGAATCTTTAAATAGTAAAATATATTGTTTTATATATCAATATTTATATCGATAAACCGCAGATGTTATTTTGGTATATTTATTATAATTAATCATACAAAATTTTCTTGTTTACAGCTTGCGTTAGAGCTAAATAAATGTAACACATGGGACGAAAAAGTGAAAGTATTTCATGCTTACTTCCCGAAGGACTTAAATGTACTGACGATCGAAAATCAAAAGCTTATATTTTTTACAGTTTACAATCATTTTGTCGCTGTACAGGATTACGATATTTCATCATTACCTCGCCTTAAATCATCTATAACATTGCTAAAACCCACATTTCCGATTGCCCCTTTTACTGAAGAGGATTATGGTTTACATAAGGTAAATAAATCTGTAATTTGGATAGATATTTTTGAAATAAAACTATGATTTTAAAAATAACATGAAACTTTATAACAAGAAACTTATTTTTAGGTTACCGAAGGTAAAGTGCAAATTCATTATGTGGAAGGTAATCATATCACAATGATGGACAACGGCAAAATCATATCAACTATTAACGAAGAATGGATAGAAGATAATATAATACAATATAAGGAGGAAAAGAAGGAGGATATAAGAGGAGGATAATATAATACATATACTTTATCGAAGGGGGGGGGGACGGTAACATTAAAACAAAATATTTCAAAGATATTATATATCAGGAAATAAGATGTCTTTCTGATAATGTGTTATCCTACAATACGTTTTTAAACTTTTAAATAAGCATGTATGAAAATATATGTACGCTTAAATTTGTGTGTTTAACATATTTCGAGAAGTGAATAATCCAATTAATTTCAGACAATTATGCTTCTTTTATGGTCCTGTGAACTTGGCACATCATACCTAAAAATCTAAAAGTTTTTTTAGAGTTTTGACTTTCTTTTGAATAGTTCTAAAGTTCTAGATAAGCATTTTAAATAGTTCCGATGATTAATTACAAAAAAATCGAATTTGAAAATATGTTGCGTTAAGTTCGCGCAGCGCACCAAATCATGAAAATCAATTATTTCTTTGGAGTTTTAGTTTGTTTTACAATAGTTCTACAGTTCTGTATCAAATATATCAATAGTTCTAGCAATTAGAGGCAAAAAATCGATTTCTGAAAATTTACTGCCCAAACTGTAACACCTATCTAAGAAAGGTAACAGTTCCGATCGCATGCGACTTTTCCACGTAGTTTTGCAGAAAATTTTAATCACTTTCCAGTAATGCAATTATTTTAAAAATAAAAACCATATTTAACACATAAGAAGAAATTGTTATTTAAGAAAAATCTGTTTACACGTTCTAACCGATCTGATAAGAGTTCTGCGTAGCGTTTCCTAAATTCTACAAAAAAGTCATATAAGTTTTGTATGTGAAATAATTATTTTTTAAGTTTTCGCTGTTTTTAACATTTAAAAATCAACTTTTCGACGATTTTTGACAGTTCTATAAGTTCTATTATAATTTTCCTACAGTTTTGAACGTGTTCTAACATTTTCCAAAGAGTTCTAGTGATAAAAATTATGTGATTATTTTTTAAATAATTTTTTCTTTCAAGAAAGCCGCATTTACGGGTTTATAGGTGAGGCGCTGGCCGATTTTCGACAGTTCTACGAGTTCTATTATAATTATCCTGTAGTTCTGAACGTGTTTTAACGTTTTCCGTTTGTTGAATTTTGTGCTGTTATGCTTTTATATGTCTCTTACTTTTTTATATCGCGTTTACATATTACTAATTTTTAAACGTACTTAATAATATTAAATAATTTTTAAATGTTTATGAAATAAATATTTTGTATCATTTATTATAATATTTCAATAATTTATTGGACAAAAAATATTTCAAACATGATGATTTCTTCCATCAAAATCATCTTGCTACAGTTATATCACCGCAATCTTTGCGATATCATATTCTGTTGAAGTTTCTTCGAAACTTATTTTTATTGGATTTTTTAATTCTTTTGGTCTGTCATTCATACATTCATTTTTAAACCATGAATATTTAAATAAGCTGGCATTTGACTTTCTCCTTTCCTCCTCCTCCTCCTCTCTCTCTCTCTCTCTCTCTCTCTCTCTCTCTCTCTCTCTCTCTCATGTCTGCAGAACAATGAAAATTTATAGGATATAAATATATATCAATCATTGCTTGAAAATAAAAAGGAAACTGATTTAAATAATACAGTTCAAGTTGCATTATATTATTTAATAGGTGCATTATTATTAAAAATAAAGAAAAATTTTACACATTGCAATAATTGTTTTAATGTTCTTGTGACTACGAATGATTCTAACAATTCTAGCTACAATAATAATCTAAGTTTTTATACAAAGTTAAGGGAATATAAAGAAAATATTTTAATATTTCCAAGCATGGAGATATATAATTTAATATGTAAGTGCGAACTATTATTTCGAAAAAATGAGATTAACTTACTTTTTAATGTATTAAAAGTCAATGATTTTATAACAAAGTTTTTACAAGAATATTCGATAAACTTTATTCCTTCGTATCATAATATTGGTTATAAATTTATAAAAAATTTTGTAACAAGAAGTCATTTTTCTTTAAAAAAAGTAAGCAGCGATTAAAAAAAACAGCTGGTCATAGCAGTAGAAGTGTTGCGATGAAAATGGCCATAGTAAATGGAAAAAAACATAAATAAAAATTATTTTTATGCAACACGTGCATGGAAAGTGCCCCATTACGCACGCTACGCGTGCGTGATAGACCACTTTCCAGACACTTGCAACATAAAATAGGGAGTGTAAGCCGTGTGTAAAGATGAAAATTCCCGGGTGCGGAGTTTACGCACGAGCCGAAGGCGAGTGCGGTAACCGCACCCGGGAATTTTCATCTTACCTCACTTGTTACACAAATAACTATTATATAATTTACAATTTTATTTTCTTTCCTACAAAAAATTGGATTATACATACAATTATATACAATTGAAACGGCCGCGTAGCGTGGAGTCAAAATGGCAGCTTTTTTCCCCTAAATGCGTTACTTTGTAATCTAGTGACTTTAGGAAATCGTATGTCTGTCCTTCTTTATCGTTCGCGGAAAAGGACAGACATATGATTTTTCTCCTTCTCCATCTTATTGACTGCTATATTGACTACGTTTACACGGCCCGATTTAAGCGGGGGGGGGGCTTTACGCCGAAGTTATAACATCGATATAAATATACTGACGTTAAATACCGTGTAAATGCTCTTTTACGACAAAGTTCCACATCGATGTAATAACTTCGTCGTAAAAGAGCATTTACACGGTATTTAACGTCAGTATATTTATATCGATGTTATAACTT